CGGCGGCGCCGGCATCGTCCTAACTTGCACGCGCGGAGTGACCCCAGACATTTCACTAAAATGAGCGTGCTTAGCAGGAAGAGATGGGTTCCTTACACTAGAAATTACCCCGTCACATGTAGCGGTGTAAGTAAATGATTAATTTCTATTATGGCCGGATTACAGGTAGCCTCTGGAAACGCGCCGCTTCCCCCGTCCTGCGTCCTCCTAGGCCCTGTCTGCGCCCCTCCTGACTTCCCCTGGGCTTCCTCTCCCTGGGCTACAGTTTCGGCTGTTGGGGTCCTAGGAGACGGCGAACTAACCTTTTCTGGGTTTTTCTAGGGAAAGGAAGATGACTTGATTGCCGTGGTGTGTCGTGGCCTTCCCCCTTCCCCAGTGAAAATTAAAAAATTTTTATTCTGTGTGTGTGCAGAGAAGCGTGTTCGGAAAAAAAAGGTCCAGAATGGTGGAAATGTTTCCTTGAAAAACCAATGGAATGTGGGTGTTTTTTTAGCCGTTCTGGAGATGTTTCTTTCAACCCAACTCCACTGCAGTCTGTGTATCCGAGTTCTGGCAAACTACTGGGAGAAATCCTTAGGGTTGTTTATTGATGTTTGAGAAGATTTATTTTGTGTTTAGGCTTGCGTTTTTTGTTAGTATGACCATTCAAGAGCCCTTTGGGCCTTGCTGTCCATGGGATCTATTGGGGGATTCATCTCTCCACCTTCTCCCATGTTACAATGCCAGCAACCCCCAGTGGGAGCCTTCTTTAATTGGAATGCCGCCCTCTCTGCTCTTCTGTTCCTGATTCTCCCTTCCTTTCCATCCTCCTTGATTTTTACCTTCATTTTCACGATATTCCTTCCTTTCGTATTTTGTAACATGCAGGATGTGGGATTTGGTTGCTAGGAGACAAGGCAGGCTCCCTGGGAGATTCTGTCGTTTCCTTGACAACCAGACTAGGGCAGCTACAGATGAACAAGCCTCCTATCAGCTGTGGGAGGGAAAAGGGGGCTTTTCTCGGCTCCGCAAAGAGTGTCTGTAGGGGTGTGGGGGTGGGACTGGGAGCTGGTGAGGGTTGTAGCTAATCTGAGCACACCTTTCGTTTTGGCCTGGCCTGAGTACAAAGAGCTGGGAGAGCAGTGGGCAGGAGATGGCAGGGACTGTGGGATGGGGTGGGAAGGGAGCATCTAGGTGATTCTGGGATCACTGAGGGAGACAAGTGGCCTGGGGGTCATGATAGCCCAGGCAGGGTGTCAAGGAAGCCATAGTGGAGGGAGGTTAGTCAGGAGGCTCAAGAAGAGTGGGGATGAGGCAATTGTGTGGAAAAGTCTAGAGTCATTGAGGGAGAGAGTGCCAGAAGGAAAGGGAAGTTGAGAAGCTCATTGAGTGGGTTGTACCACCATATATCAGCGATGATACAGTAAAGTAGCGATATTCTAGAGCAAAAATTACATTACTGTTGGCAATGGCACGCTATCTCCTGTATAGGGTCCCTGTTTAAGACAGGCCTGACTGGACAGAGTTCTGCTGCCTTAATTGGGCCAGTCTGTATCTTAAAGAGAGATATAATTACACATATAGATATGTAATCTAGCATTATATAATACCACATTACGTAAGAAGGCAGATACCTCCTTTCAGCCCAGGCTGTCTTGGCACAAATTCAACCAAGATTCAGCAGACTTTCTTTCAAAGCCCTCATACCCATTTTCCAGAAGGACAGACTGCTGCCCAGAGATGTGAAGTGATTTGTCCTTTCCGTGATACAACAATGAATTTTGCCAATCAGGGAGATGGGACAGGGGTGGAGTGGGTAAGAATGATAAAAATCAGGAGGAAGTCGAAGGACAAGCAGGGAAAGGCCACAGGGGCAGCTGAGGAGTGGATGGGGAGAGGCTCTTCAGCCAGAGTAGTACCCAACAGGTTTGCTGTCTGAGCTCATAGCACAGTGTCGCTCTCCTGCTTGTTGGCTGGCTGTCCCCTACTTAACCCCAGAGGTGGATAACGTGTGAGTGAATTTTTGAATTGTAAACTCGCTGATCTTGGACCAGCATTGCTCTGATGGGGTTTTGACATCGTCCTCGCCATTCCAGATGCTCCTGGAGCTAAGAACTGATGTCCCTCCTCCGGGCCTCCTCACCTGCCCCCCGCCCACATGCTGCTAAGATCTAAATTTGAGAAAGAGGTGCTCTTGGCTAGTAGGTTTTTATCTTTCTCCTACAGCCGTATGTGTTTGGGGGATTCTATCTGTTTTGTTCTTCATGATAAAACAGAAACCACAATCCAGAAGATTCCCCTCAGCACCTACTCATCCTCCCAGCTGCCTGACTTAAAACCGGGAACTGTCAACATGGGGTTCCCGGTCCTCAGCTCAGAAGAGAGAGCAGGGAGGGTGGTTAGAATAACAGTTGCTTGCTGGGGAGGGCAAGGAGGGCTGCAAGAGGGAGAAGGAATGAGGCAGATGATTGCCCTGGAAACTGGGGAGGGACCTGCATGGGAGACCCTTTGTTGTTTGAGGTCCTGATCCTGTAAAATTCCAAGAAGGAGGAGGTGCTCGTCTCATTGAAAAGTCCTTGCTGTACTTTTTGCTTAGGTGGCTGAGATGCTTCCACTCGCGCAAATCCCAGTTGCCATCGTTACTTGGATATTTCAGGTCTGCATTCCTGCATGCTGGCATCCAGTTACAGCCCGGCAGGAGCAGAGCTGCTCTGTTGCTGCTGGTGGCCTGGCTCTTGGGCTGGATGGCTCAGCAGTGAGGGCACCTGGGTGGCCTCCAGGACTCCTGAGCTTAGCCTTCCTTGGCCTACGAAGGATTTCTCCAAATTGCTCCAGCCCCCAGCTGGAGCACAGGGAACATGAGCACAGGCAGGCCAATGACCCCAGCTTCCTAATAATGCCTGCCCTGCATCTACCTTTACCCTCTCTCCTTGTTCCTTCCAGGAGGGTGGATGCCAGCTGGGAGGCTGCCAGCAAAAGCCCCTTCAAGCCAAGGGCCCCCCTCCTGGTGACAGCTTTTTAAGCACTGACGTGACATTTTGACTACAGAAGGGCCTTCTGTTTGTCACTTTGAGCCATCCGTCTGTGGGTGGACAAGCCACTTCCTCTCTACTTAACACAGAAGGAAACTGAGGCAAGCATTTGCCCAGAAATTCAGGCCCAAGTTTCTGACTGTCTGCTTCCCATCACCCATGCAGCCAATGTAGCAAACGTCTTGCCGGGAGTGTTGGTGTCTGGGGGCTTCCAGCCTGAAAATCCTCCTCCCCAGGAAGGAGAAGTGTGGAAGGGAGCGTATCTCACTTTCCCTGAAAGCAGATGCAGGATGCTTGGAGGGCAGGCCTGGGCAGGGAATGGGAAGGCCCACTGGCCATGAGGTATATCGTCCCAGGCCCGTAGTTACCCCCCCCCCCATCTCAAAACTGAGCCTGCTTAGCGAGTCACGTAGGTAACAAGACAGACCCAGGGGAGGAGAGGAGAGGCCTGTGGGCTGCTCTGGAGTATCCAGAAGCCTCCCCAGCCCAGAGAGCCAGGGAAGAAAAACTGGCATCTCCATTAGGTGGGGCTTGGGGCTGGGATGGCAAGGTAGCCACAGGCAGGCCGGGGCTTGGAAATGCTCCACCAGAGAGGAATAGAAGAGAGGTGGAGCCCAGGAGACCTGCGCCCAGCTCTGACAAGTCCATTACATTTTTCAAGTGGCCCTGCCCTCAGGCGTGCTGGGAAGGGGTGGGGATCTTGGCCCCGACTCTGCTTGTCTCAGCTGTTTGTTGTTCTGCTGGCTGGAGCAGGAGGGCGGGTGATGAGTGAGCTTCCCAGGCAGACTTTTCTCTTCCTGGGAGAGCGGGGACCGACCCTAGGCAGACTCTGCCCCGTGACCTCTCCCAGGCGACCCCCAGCCAGAGGCCCCATCGGAGAATGGTGGCTACAGGAGGGAGAGGAGCGGTTCACCCAGTGGAGCTGCGCCTCTCAGCCTGAAGGGGCTCCTGTCTCCTTGGGCCCCTGCAGAGCTCTTGCCCAGAACGCTGCCCGGTCCCTTCTCCTCCTCTCCGCTCCCATGCTGGGAGAGAGGGCAGCCCCAGCTGAGGAGCGCTGCTGGCCCCAGCCCTCGGGGGGCTGGCGTGCAAAGCCATCTTGACCGCTCCTCTCCTCTCCCTCAGGTCCCAATTAATGGATTCTGATATGGATTATGAAAGGCCAAACGTAGAGACCATCAAGTGTGTGGTGGTGGGGGACAACGCCGTGGGCAAGACCCGACTCATCTGCGCCCGGGCCTGCAATGCCACCCTCACCCAGTACCAGCTGCTCGCCACCCACGTGCCCACAGTTTGGGCCATCGACCAATATCGGGTGTGCCAGGAGGTAAGGCTTCAAGGCCACTTGGCTGGGGGTCCACGCTATGCATGGCGATCGCCCGGAGCCATGTCTCCAAACAGGGCCTGTGCTGAGCTCACGGAAGCCCCCTAGGAGTGGGGTGGGGACAGCCGAACAGTGCCGAGCCCCTGGCGAGAAGTCTGAGGGCAGCCCACCCCAGGGAGGGTCCTGGACCATTTGTGTTTTGCATGGCTGAGTTGGTGCCTGGGGCCCAGCATCTTGTATAATCACAGCCCCCAGTTATGGGAGCTCTGAAAGGGGGAGAGGGGCGGGGTGCTTAGGAGAGATGAGAGCTGGCAGGAAGAAAGAAGTTCCCAGCTCATAAGACCAAAGGATCGGAGGCTTGTAAACGTCCGATTCACAGGTCAAGCTGGGAACAAGGGCAGGCAGAGAGATAACACTCTGCCTCTTAGAGCCTCTTCCCTCCTGGCAGCTTGGAGGCCGCCCTTGTTAGTGACTCTGCAGAGACGGCACCCAGAGGAAAGTGTTGTAGGGCACACAGAGGGTGGCACTGGCCACCCCTCCACCCCTCCATGCTGCAGGACCCTCGGGAATGAGCTATGAGCTGGCACCACCCTGAGCCAACACGCAGGGACCCCAAGACCTGTTGCCCTGGATTCCCGCCCCCCTCCCTGCCCTTCGCAGGTGCTGGAACGTTCCCGAGACGTCGTAGACGATGTCAGCGTGTCCCTCCGCCTCTGGGACACCTTTGGAGACCACCACAAAGACCGTCGCTTTGCTTATGGGAGGTAGGGAAGGCCCCGGCCACCTGCAGGGAGCCAAGTGGATGGGTTTCTCCCGTATCCCAAGGACTGAAGCAACTCTGAAATTGAACCTGGGAGGAAGGAGGGGGAAAACAGCGCTGGCTGACCCTCGTGGGGGAGGCTGCCCTGGCAGTGCAGAGAGCTGGCTTCACCGGCAGGAGGCGTGGTTTGAGTCCTACCCTGTTATCCAGTAGCTTTGGGACTTTGAGCAATTAGGAGAGCTGCTCTGAGATTATTTTTCTCAGCTGTGAGATGGAAAAAATGGTCATTTCTAACTCGCAAGATAGCCGTGAAGTCAAAACAAGAGTCTCTGAAAGTTCGAAAATGCCAAATTAGAGGTACAGTTATTATAGTTATCATATGCTTTATGTAAGATCATGTGAGCAGATACGTATGACAGATGTGGGACTGCAGTGTAGGACGTGCGGGTGGGGGTGTGTGTTCTCCCTCGTCCCAGGGGCAGGTAACCTACCGCTAGCTTTCTCTGCCCATAACCTCACTCTCCCACTCCCAGATCCGATGTGGTGGTTCTGTGCTTCTCCATTGCCAACCCCAACTCCCTCCACCATGTCAAGACCATGTGGTACCCAGAAATCAAGCACTTCTGCCCCCGAGCACCTGTCATCTTGGTGGGCTGCCAGCTGGACCTGCGCTACGCCGACCTGGAGGCTGTCAATAGGGCCAGGAGACCCTTGGCTAGGTAGGGGGTGCTGGGGCCTAGGGAGGGGAAGGTGGCAGGCAGGGGGTCGGGGTGCATCTCCCTGGCTTCCTGCTCAGCCCTGAGGGAATCCACTGAGCCTCATGTCTTTCCCTCCATTTGAAGTAAGTTTGTGTAGGGAGGGAGCCAGTATGAGTGCTCATTCTTTCATTCACCCATCCATCCATCCATCCATCCATCTGTTACACACTGAGTGGGCAATACTGGGCTACGCATCATGAGGAGAGGAGGAGAAGAGGAAGTAGTTTTTGCATGAAAGGGGCTAATCATCTTGCTGGGAGATGAAGTCAATAGGTGAACATATTAAAAAAAACCAATGTGGAACATTGCATGCTAATTGCCAGAGAGGTAGGTAGTGCTACCGCTGCTCTGAGCTGGGGAGATCACCAGGGTTTGACATGGATATGGAAGGCTTCTTGGAAGAAGGGATTGGAAATGGGCCTTGAAGGACTGGTAGCATTTGGCCAGACTGAGGAGAAAGGGCAGAGATTCAGTGGACATGAGCAGGGCAGGAATGGGGCTAGGGTGTCAGATCCTGAGCAGAGACGCTCCAGCATGTGATGAACAGGCAGGCCCTGGAGAGCTGCCGCTCCCTTCCCACTCCCCCAACATGAATTTGGTTTCCTTTTTTGAACCCACCAGGCCCATTAAGCCCAATGAGATCCTGCCTCCAGAGAAGGGTCGGGAGGTGGCCAAGGAGCTGGGCATCCCCTACTACGAGACCAGCGTGGTGGCCCAGTTCGGCATCAAGGACGTCTTTGACAACGCCATCCGGGCAGCACTCATCTCCCGCCGGCACCTGCAGTTCTGGAAGTCCCACCTCCGCAATGTGCAGAGGCCTCTGCTGCAGGCGCCCTTCCTGCCCCCCAAGCCACCTCCCCCCATCATCGTGGTGCCCGACCCCCCCTCCAGCAGCGAGGAGTGCCCCGCCCACCTCCTGGAGGATCCGCTGTGTGCGGACGTCATCCTGGTGCTGCAGGAGCGGGTGCGCATCTTCGCCCACAAGATCTACCTCTCCACCTCCTCCTCCAAGTTCTACGACCTGTTCCTCATGGACCTGAGTGAGGGGGAGCTGGGGGGCCCCTCAGGGCCAGGGGGCCCCCGCCCAGAGGACCACCGGGGTCACCCTGATCAACACCACCACCATCACCACCACCACCACCACGGCCGGGACTTCCTGCTCCGGGCAGCCAGCTTTGATGTGTGTGAGAGCGTGGAGGAGGGTGGGGGCTCTGGTCCTGCTGGGCTCCGGGCCTCAACCAGCGATGGGATCTTACGGGGCAATGGGACAGGGTACTTGCCCGGGAGGGGTCGAGTGCTGTCTTCCTGGAGCCGAGCTTTTGTGAGCATCCAGGAAGAGATGGCAGAAGATCCACTGACTTACAAATCCCGGCTGATGGTGGTGGTAAAAATGGACAACTCCATCCAGCCGGGGCCCTTCCGGGCCGTTCTCAAGTACCTGTACACAGGGGAGCTGGACGAGAATGAGCGGGACCTCATGCACATCGCCCACATTGCTGAGCTGCTCGAGGTCTTTGATCTGCGCATGATGGTGGCCAACATTCTCAACAATGAGGCCTTCATGAACCAGGAGATCACCAAGGCCTTCCACGTCCGCCGGACCAACCGGGTTAAGGAGTGCTTGGCAAAAGGCACCTTCTCAGGTATGGCATGTGCTTAGGAGTTAATGTCCAGAAGGCAGGGATGTTCCCTCCAGGAGCCGTCTGAGGAGTCTGGTTGGTCCAGTTAGCATTCTGAGTCATCTCAGCTGCTGATGTCCTGGAGATACAGTTCTGTTCCTGAAGCCTCGTGGCCCCGGCCTGAGATCGTGGTCATGTAGCACTCATGGTCCCGTAGCACTCCACAGCTGTGGCTTCAGGAAGAAGCAGGTTGTCTGGGCATAGTGTTGACCCTCAGTGTTGGTTGTCCCATATTCATTCACTGCATCCTCACGTGATGCCTCTTCTCTACCCGGACAGATGTGACCTTCATCCTGGATGATGGCACCATCAGCGCCCACAAGCCCCTGTTGATTTCCAGCTGTGACTGGATGGCTGCCATGTTTGGGGGGCCATTCGTGGAGAGTTCCACCAGGGAGGTAAGGCTAGGTTAGGAACGGTTGGGAAGGAGAGAGACTTACTCTCCTTTCTGTCTGTGGCATCTGTCAGTTAATTCTTTGGCCTTGCCTAGGTGTAATCCACCAAGTGATGGGCCCAAGAGAAGCTTATGAGATAGATCGTTCACATAGGCAAGGACTTTACAATATACAAGGATAGGGAATTATGGTAACGTCTTAACTGTATAGTTTAGAAAGCACTTTTGATATGTTATATCATCTCACACCCGACTCTTATATGTAGCGTAGCCTTCCCACTTTATACATAAGAAAAATGGGGCCCTGAGAAGTGGATTCATGCAAAGCTGTGTAAGTAGGAAGGAGAGGGTAGGACTTGAACTCAAGGCATCTGATTTCTTGGCTTTTCCCCTGACACATGTGAAGCAACTAGAAACAAATTCCGTGAGTCCCCAACTGAATCAATCTGTTTTTACAATGTAGGTTTTATTGTTACTGAGTTATGGGGAAGCCAACAAATCAGGAAGAAATTGTCATTGAAAAGATAGATTGTTATACTCAGAGCTCTCAGTGGGAGGGGCCACACGGGGAAGCAGCAGGGTGGGTCAGGAGTCAGAGGGAGCGAGGGGAACTGTGGGCAAAGCCTTTAGTAGCTTCCATGGGAAGGAATAGGCAGGGAAGTGTCATCAGGTTTAGGGTTGGCTAGTTTGAATAATGTCAGCAGGTTCTGAGGCACTGGGGCTGTCCTGAGTCACCTGGTACCTGGCCCTAGGTGACCAGGGCAGGGGGAGAGTGGCCTGGAGTGGGAGAGCCTGATAAAGGAGGTAGTTGGGGGCGTGGGCTCTGGACTGGTTGGTTTACATAGGAAAGGCATGTTCTCAGGTAGTCTTTTACTGTCTCCAGGAAATGGCTAGCCCTGGGAGGGGCAGTCCCTCCAGGGTCAGCAAGTCCCCAAATTTCAAATCATAAGAACATAGAAACTAAAAAGAGATGCTTCATACAATCACCTTTCCCTCTAAGCGGGGCCGCTCCAACTCCTCGTTCTCGCTGATACCGCCGCTTTCTTGGGCACTGAGACTGGAAACACAGAATTGGAAGGAGCCCGTCAGTGTGCCCTTGGAAATAGTCTCTGAAGTCTTTTCTCTCCTGTCCATTCTCCCAGCCAAGCGGAGTCGCCCAGGCCATGGTCCCTGGTATTCTCCATCTCCCCTGAACTCCTAGCATTAACTGTCCATCACTCAGCTTTACAGCTAATTAACAAGGTTCTGTTTTGTGCAACTGCTTAAAGTCCTGAGGATCCACATCCAGTTTTCCCAGCTGGTCTGCGGTTCCCTTGGAGTGTGGGGACTAGGTCTTTGACTTCTGCCGGGTACCCCTGGCATGGGTCCCTTGGTCAGTGCTCAGCAAACACCTCAATAAAAAACTAAGAACATGCAGCACAGTGTCCTGTGACACAGAGTAGGAATTGCCTAAGATTTCTGGGAAGCAAGGCCTTACGGGAGGCTACGCAGAAGGGGTGAGATTGGAGCCGTCTCTGCTCCTTGAAGCATTGAATGGGCTTGGGATGTGTGCAGTGTGAGGCTGGGAACTCTCCAGAGCCTTGGGGCCTGCCATCCCTGGGCTCTTCTCGCACCATAGAAGCAGCTGTAAAGCCCCAGCCAATTCCCAGTGCAGCCTGGAGAGACTCGCATCAGATGAGAAAGCAGTTTTTGTTGAGGCGCTGCTCTGGAGAGATCCCAGAGGCCCAGAGCAGCAACTTCGAGCGGCCGAGAGAAGCCAGCTGGGGTTGCCTTTGCTCATTCCATATCCCATTTGCCCTGCTCCCCTCAGGGCCGGGAGAGGCTGGGAGCTGCCGGGAGCGGCCGGGAGTGGCTGGGAGCAGGTTTAGGTGACCGGAAGGACTCCTTCAGGCATCCTCCAAGCTGGAGGGGCTTTGGAGAGATGCCAGTGAGAGTCCAGGTCCTTTTCAAGGCTATTCGAGCCCTGTTCACAGATGCTCAGCAGATGGACTCAGCGCAGTCTGTCGCTGTGGGAGACCAGCCTTTGGGGAAGGGGGATTCTGGGCAGATACAGGGGCCGCGGAGGGGTGGCTGCCTGTCTAGGGGAAACCAGTGTGTGGGACTAGCTGAGTAACTCTCAGAACTGAGTGACTCTCTCCCTAAAGCCAGAGCTCACTGCAGCGGCTCTCTTCCTTCCCACCAACAGGTGGTGTTTCCTTACACCAGCAAGAGCTGCATGAGGGCAGTGCTGGAATACCTCTACACCGGCATGTTCACCTCCAGTCCCGACCTGGACGACATGAAACTCATCATCCTGGCCAACCGCCTCTGCCTGCCGCACTTGGTTGCCCTCACAGGTAACTAACCAGGGTGCTCAGGGGCCTCCCTGGGGGAGAAGCCAGGGGAACCCCCTGGGAGTGGAGGTTTCTAATCTCACCTGTCTCCTCCTAGGGGACAGGCCGCGAGCACCAAGGGAAAACATTTACATAAAGTGAAATACATCAGTGCATATTGGGGTTTGGGTGAGGACATGGGTATAAAGAAATGTGTGAGAGAGATGCTCGGTGGGGTCACCTTAGGAGCTCTCGCCAAAGGTTATCTCAGCCCAACAAAGTGGCTCCAGTGGATGCTTGTCCCTGATGCTCTTACCAGCTTGGCCGCACTCAGGCAAGCTTAAGAAGTCAGAAAGACTAGAACACCATTCCTCGTTTCTACCCTTTGCGCTCCTCTTCCTCCTCCCCTTCCTTCTTCTTCCTTCCCTTTTTCTTCTTTGCCTTCTTTTCCTTTCTCTCTTCCTTCTCCCTCTCTTCCACCTTCATTTCCTTTTCTTATTGTAGAAACAGACAACAAACATTGACCTGCCACTCCTAATTCCTTGATTCCTTGAAGATCGTGAGAGCTGGAGCTCAGCTTTCAGAATGGACCAACCCCAGAGGCTAGGGTGAAGCAGGGACTGAGGCAATAGGCGACCAAAGAGTGGATGGTTGGAGCCCAAGGGCTGGAGGAGAGAGATGATGTGGTCCAGATGAGGGGCGTCTGGGGCCAGTGGTGCCTGCAGACAGATGCTGCTGCCGACGCTGGAGCTGGCATTTGTGTTGCATTGGTGTTGACGTTGGTCCCTGCATAGGTGTTAATGTTGAGGTTAATATTGTTGGGCAGGTCGGGGGCAGAGAGCAGGGCCTCAGATACTGAGCTGAGGGAAGGACCCGCTGTCAGAGCTGCTGGGGCCTTGGGCAGATGATCAAGATAAGGACTTAGCTATGGGGAAAGTAGCAATGCACTGATGGGAAATGAAGTGTCAGGTGGGGCTTGGTCACAAGAAGAAGACAGAAATCATTGATCAGAACTGAATGTTAAGGGCTGAGCCTGCAGAGGGAGGCCAGGGGACACTGAGGGCTTTGGGGCAGGGAGAGGCTTCTGACGATCACAGCTGCAACATATGTCGTCCATGGCTGCCCATGAAAAGTGATAACGTTTTCCCAGAGCACAGAAAATGGTCCAAACTCGTAGACTCAGTAATTCAACTTTTGAAAGATTATCTGCAAAGAAATGGCCCAAATGAAAAGCATGTAGAAAAGTGTTTATTTAAGTTTGTTTCATCATGGCAGGCAATCAGAAACAAGTCAGATAAGCACCCATGGGTAGTTTTCACTAAGTAGTCATTAAAAATGTTAAATGACACTGGTGCATGGAAGGGCTTATAGAACATAACATTGAATGATTTGGCCCAAATGTGCTAGAAAACATAAAAAAGTGGGTTGTACTGTATGTACCTTGCCAAGGATCGGTGGAAAAGCCTAAGTATGGTATAATAAGTGACCCTTTATGTTTTGTGATATATGCTTCCTATGAAGTTGTTAATTCAAGATTAAATTTTTTAAATTGTTAAATATAATACAAGTACATGAAACATATTTTCAGCTTAATGAGTTATTATAGAGCAAAATGACCCTTGCCAGCCACACCAGAAGCCCTCCACGTGTCCCTCCCAAGCAGAGGTCCTTCCCCTCTCCCTGGGAGTAACCCCTCTGTCTCTTGCCCTTTCTTAGGGTACTTTTTATGGCCTCACTTCCTGGCTCTTCATTGTTTTATCTTCCAAGTATGCATCCTTAAACACTATAGCATGACTTTATTTTTTATGTATCTTTTAAGTTTTTTTAGTCTATAAATACCTTGTCCATTAAAAATGTTTTTTACCTTGCAACTTGTTGGAAAAAACTCACTGATCTAGAAAATCTAGATTTTTACTAATTGCGTTTCTGTAGTACACCATATCTCCTATAAACTGGCCATTGGCTCTAGAGGTTAGATCAGGTTCACGTTCAGTTTTCTTGTGGTAAGACTACTTTGTAGGTTGTTGCTGTTTTTCTTCAAGAAGCATAGATTATCTGCTTTTCTCTTTTTGTGATGTTAGCAGCCATTGAGTATCATGGCCTGGATCCATTAATTTATTAGGTGTTATGAAATGGTGATATTCCAATTCAGGCATTTTTTTCTTTAGCTGTTGGAATACTCCTGAAAAGGGAGAGACTTCCTCTCACCTACTGTTTGTTTACCCAGTGGCACAGTTCGTGTAGGAAAAGCACACGAATGCTTGCTTCTTTCCTTTTCTTTACCAGTTTTCAAGATACATTTGTTTCCTATCATCCTTTGAGAGTGGCCAAGGAGTGTTTTATTTTTAAGTATGATTAGGAACTCTTAGATTTGAGCATACTCAAAATCAGTTTCAAATAATTGCAATTACATTTATTGAAGCTCAAATACTCTGCTGCTCCTGTAGCCTGTAGCCGTCTCCTCAGCTTGGCTCCAGGGTCTTTCAGGTTCCTGATTATCTGGAACGACAAGATGTTCCAGGTTCGTCTTGTACATTTCCTGCCCCAGACCTGGAACCAGCCACTTCTCTAAGAAGTCCTGGTTTCTTGTAGTTGGAAATGGGATTTCAAGGCTACCCATCTGTGCAATAGGGATGCCCTTTGCTACTGGGATGGCTCTTGTTTCTAGGTCTTTTCCATGGACTGAGCTGGAAAATATATTTTTAAAGATAAAATATCTAAGAAGTTTATGCTGATACAGTTAAAATTCAGGACTAAGAGTGTTTACTCCTTCAGTATAAGCATTTTAATTTGAAATGCGAAGTTAGTACACAATTTGTTACAAAGTGTAAATTAATATGAACAACCAGGGGAGGTTATAGCTCAGTGGTAGAGCTCTTGCTTAGCATGCATGAGGTCCTGGGTTCAATCCCCAGTACCACCATTAAAAATAAATAAAAAATAAATAAACCTAATTACCTACCCCCTGCAAAAAAAGATAATGCAAATAAATTAAAAAACAAAACAAAACAACAACAACAACAACCTGGTTTAATCCGTAGCTCTAACCCGTAGTTCTCAGCAAACCTGAGACTCAACACCCCCACCCATCAGTGTCAGTGGCTGATTTCAGGGGGTGGGGACTTTCGCCCTGTGTATATTAGACTACTTGGTGCAACATATGTAGCTTGAAAAATCCTCTTAGATGGTTCTAATCTCCTCCTTCCCTTCCCACCCCCGCTCCACTGGGAAAGTCTTGCTCTAATCCCAGTTTCCTCACTTGTGGGAGCAGACTTAAATCTCGCATGGCCTCTCCTGGCCTGCTGGGGCTTGCCCCTAGCCCCAGCCTCCCTTTGCCCTGCGGCGGGCCCCTGCCGGGGGGATAAGCAAGTGCATGTCCACTCCTGCGATTCTTCAGCTGATTCCTGGCTCTGTGTGTGTCACAGAGCAGTACACAGTGACCGGACTGATGGAAGCAACTCAGATGATGGTGGACATTGATGGGGATGTCCTTGTGTTCCTGGAGCTGGCTCAGGTATGAGGTGGAGGGAAGAATCTCTCCAACATTCTCAACTCAGAGCTCTGTCTGCCCATTGGCAGCAGATGGGGAGGGGCTGGGAGGTGGTGGGTAGGAAGGGAACCTGTTTTCAGACTCGGTTCCCTGAGTGGGCAGAGCCCATCTCCTCCTCCAGGCCAGAGAGGCCACCCAGACGTGCCAAGAGGTGAGGCTGGACGTTGGGGGAAGGGCCAGAGACTTCAGGCAACCATAGGGCAGGGGAGGGAAGCCCAGAATCATGTATACACATGGTTGCTGCCTGCCCGAGGGCATCTAAGGGACACTGAGGACTCTCCATCTAAAATTATCTTCCCACCTCTATGTTCTCAAACAGGTAAGCAAAATCTCCCACCCCGGCCCTTTGGAGGGCCAGAAATTTTACCACTAAAGATTAGTTTATCAGTTGTGAAAGTGTGGCAGGCACACCTGCAAAGTCAGCTCTCTAAGCCTAGTTGTCAACACCTTAGTGCAAGCTGCTTTGGTCCCTGGTGGAGAGGAGGATGAGGGGTCAGTTCAGAGGACGGCAGACACAGGATGCATGACAGGACCATGGATTTCTGGGGATGCCGGGAGAGGTTAGAGGTGAGATGGTGATGGTGGTGGTGCCAAGGAGCAAATCCAGCATTGCCTCCTCATGGTTTTGTGTGGCCTTGCCTCTTGAGGTGGGCTCCTTAATGCTCAGGGCCTTCACCCACCTGCACCAAAGCTTCGGCTCTGAAGGCAACTGTAGGTGTCTGTGTGCCAACCCTGCCTCTGGGTTCTGAGCACACACTCTCTCCCCTGTGTTGCCAGTTCCACTGTGCGTACCAGTTGGCTGACTGGTGTCTCCACCACATCTGCACCAACTACAACAACGTGTGTCGCAAGTTCCCCCGAGACATGAAGGCCATGTCCCCAGGTGAGCATCCCCGGCTGCACCTCTGCCCCTCCCTCAGCTTGGGTCCAAATCTCTGACTTGACCCCAGGGCACCCTGAGGCTGCCAAAGACCCCTGGGCCTAACTTGGCCTTGTGAATGGGGAGCAGCCCGTAAAGGTGCATCCAGCCAAGCAGAGTGGGGCTGGAAAAGCACTGGCATGGAGGGCAGGGCCCCTGGGGACCTTGGACAAATCACTCTACCCCTCTGGGTTTCTGTTTCTCACAAGTACAGTCGGACTACAGTTGGTATTTTCCAGACCTTTTTGGACCAGGTGCCACGATAAGCAATACATTTTATCTTATGACCCAGTACACATTTAGAAAAAGATATAAATTGTCTTTAATGCTGCTCATGACTCACGACATTGATTTTATAACCTAGGATGGGCACAAGTCACAGTATGGACAACACAGTCAGGGTATCCTCTGAGGTCCCTGCAGCTCTGCCTTTGCCTCTTCAGTGTCTCAGGTCCTGGGGCCCAACAGACAGTTCCAGGGCTCTGGGGAGAGGTGTTGCTGGCCTCCCCGAGCTCCTGCCACTCAGTCTTCTTGAGGTTTTCTCCTCTACTCTGCTGTGACCCTCCTCCCTGCTAGCAGGTTGTCACTGTACCCTACTGATTCTCCCACCCCCTTCCCCTGCTCTTCACCCTTCTAGTGTTTTCTGTCTAAAGCTCCATCATATCCCTCCCCCAGTGCTACCGTCTTGCCCCCATGCCTTCCAGAATAAGTCCACACCCCTCAGCCCAGCCTTCCCTCCCATCTGATCTCCTCTCCCCACCCCTTGGGACCTCAGCTCTGCTGGATGCCTCTGCTCTCACCCCAGCCAGGCCCAGCGCCTTCCTGCCCACAGCTTTGCTCACCCCTTCTCCCTCATCCTTTGTCTCTGCCGACTTTATTCTCAGTGTGCGTTAAGCCCCATTTAGATCTTCCCCTCTCTTTGAAGAATAGCACAAGCAGACATGCCTTTCCCCAGCGTGGACGGTCGGCCCCACCCACTGGGCACCTGACTCTCTCCAGGGGGCTCTGTGAAGGCAGGGCTTACCCTTCTGGCCCCCAGGGGCTGGGATGTGTTCCTCGCAGGACTGAGGTTCCTCGCAGGACTGAGGACTCTCTGCAGGTCCTATGGCCGGGGGGCGGGGATGGGAGTTCCTCCAGCCCCTTCTCCCGCCTCCCTTCTCACCAAGCCCTACTGCGTTCTGCTGCAGAAAACCAGGAGTATTTTGAGAAGCATCGGTGGCCGCCCGTCTGGTACCTGAAGGAGGAAGATCACTACCAACGGGCCCGGAAGGAGCGTGAGAAGGAGGACTATCTCCACCTGAAACGGCAGCCCAAGCGGCGGTGGCTGTTCTGGAACAGCCCCTCCTCACCGTCCTCTTCAGCGGCCTCCTCGTCGTCCCCATCTTCCTCCTCGGCTGTGGTCTGAGATGCTGCCGCCCTCTTCTGACCCTGCTGTTGTCCCCACGTGTCCTCGCCCCTCTGCTCTTCTGCATCGCCCCCTCCACCTTCCAGGGACAAAGGACTCACATAACCAGGACCTATGGGGGAGCTGCTCTCACCAGCCAACATAGCTCAGCAAAGAGAGGAAGGAGCCAGGACAGGGATCCCCTGCATGGGTCCCGATTCCAAAAGCAGGGCAAGGGACAGCTGCTGGGAGGTGGGGAGCGTGGAAGGAGCCGAGGGCTGTGGCATCTTGTCTCTGGGTCAGAGAACCCTAGAGTCAAGGGGAAAACTCCACCAGCCGTGAGGCTGTGTATGGGTCTGTGAAGGCAGCCCCCTCCCACTGAGCGGCAGTGCCCCGGAAGGGTCCTGCCTCTGTTGGCCAAGTGTTTCCATCAGTGGACTCAGAGGGTTGCAAATATTTTGTGGGCATTTTCCACCTGGAGCCTATTCAAATCCTCACTGGAGAAGTCAGGGTAGAAATTAAGCCTTCAGCCCCCAACCCAAGGCTTCCACGCCTGGGGTGCAGCGGCCAGAGGCCACATGGGGAAGGCTTGCCCTCTGCCGGCATCCCTGCCAGGGCTGTGGGCATCTGGGTCTGGTCAGGGTGGCAGAGGTTGTTCAGAGCTGCAGGCCTGGCAGCAGTGTCTCTTGGTGCAATGAGAAACTTCTCTCCTCCCCTCCTTCACCACTCAGATTTGGAGATGGAAACCAAAGGAAACAGCTAGAATGGGGGGAGAGAGAAGGAAGGGGGTGATGGGGGCCTGGGGGCAGCAATCCCATGCTCCTTTGGGCTCTTCCCCCGGCCTCTGGTTAGCACAGCTTCTTATGGGGTAGGGCAAAATAGGCAAAAAACCCCAAACAACAATGAACAGAATCACCGCCAACAAAAACACTGTACCCTCTATCTCCTCAAAGGAAGAAAAACTGAAAAAGACCCGGTATGGCTTACACTTTCATAAAGCCAAGCAGGTGTCCCCATGTGGATGAGGAAAAAGTTGAGGTGTCAGAATTGACTCCAACACTTCTCAGGAAAGCAGTTGTCACCAGCTGTGACTGAGGACACCCTGGCCCTGCTGGCTAGCTCTGGATAGCACGTTGCACGCCTTCAGCATGCTGGGAATGCGGTTTGGGGGGTGGGGAGGGTGGTCTCAGGAATCCACGTGGCATCGGACGCATGAGTTGCCCATCGTGAGAATCAGGTTATCTTCATCTTCAGTGGGTGACTCCCAAGCATGTGAATGTGTTGGTGCGGTAGGGTGGGATGGGGTCAAAGGTCAGGATGAAGGGCACTGATTCTGAGAATAGGAGCCCCTGGAATGAAGGATCATAGCACGTGACCTTAGTGCTGGTTGGTAAAAGGGAAGGAGAAAAATGGAGGGGAACTGAACAGGAGCAAAACCGAGGTCAGTCCAGAGAAGAGAAGGGAGGAGGCTGGAAGATTGTGGGGACCTAGATGGTTGCTTGCAGCCCCACAGCGAAAAGCTGGGCCACAACAGACCCTTTCCCCTTTTTCTAATCCTGATCCATGTTTCACTCCCCACACTTTTATATTTAGAAAACCGAGCCCCTCTGCTGAGGGTGGAGCCACGGAGACTGAGCTCCTGACCTTAGAGCTCAGGAGTCACCTCTCCTGAGAAGGATGCTTTAGGAAGAGGAACTGGCTTTTGGTCCCAGGATCCTGGGTGGGCTCCACCGCCAAGAGTCTGGCTTTAGGTCTGGGATAGAGCAAACCCAGAAACAAAGGAACTTCTGTATCAGTTTTGTGGTGCCAAGACCTAGAGATTTGAGTTTAAAGTCCTTGCCTAGAGAAGGAGCAGGAGGTGGCATGTCAGCCGGCCTAGAGTGGCTGTCACCTATGTTATCTCAGCCCCAGACTTCTCTCAGGACATGGCTGCCTCCCTTCTAAGTGCTTCTCCAGGTAACAGGCTGGGAAACCAGATGTGTGCTGCCCTCTACTGGCTGGTCAGCTCCTTTCCGCTGAGCTCGAGGTCCTTGGCTTCAGGGTGAGGCTGAGGAGCAATGGACAGGGGCAAGAGGGGAGCCCCCAAGGGGTGTAAGGGTGCAGCTCTGCACCCAGCACCTCCACTCTGGGAAAGAGGACAGAGGAGGGGACCATGGGGCCTCCCAGGAACTCTAGGTGGTTGGGAGAGCCAGTGCCTGAAGTCCAGGGGAAGGGAATTGGGGCTCATAAGGTTGCAGGGCTGAGCCACCTGGCCCACTGATGAGGATGCAGAAAGGGCCAAGGTGAGAGAAAGGGGAAGGTGGCCCACAAGGTGCAGGAGGCCACGGGTGAGAAGCCACAGAAAGACCCCAGCAAGCAGTGCCCCACCCCTCGGGGACCCACCGCCCCTTCCCAACAGCTCTGTCAGAGCCAGCCTGCACCTCATGGGAGCCCAGCAGGCCCAGGTGCGACCCAGAGACACCACCCAGGGAAGCTGTGGGGGAGCCAGGCCAGGCTGGGGGTCCCTCTCCCAGTGGGAGGGCAGGGAAGGAGGAGGGGCTGAATTTCAGTCCCCCAGGGACCTGGTGCCTGGAAATCCAGGGTCAGCACAGGAGACACACCCGTGCAGGCTGAGCCTGAGGCATAAAGGGGAGAAGGAAGGAGCAGGTCACTCAGCAAGATCACCCACCCCTGCACCAGTGTCACTCAGCTGCTTCAGAGGAGAATGGGAAGATGGGGGAGAAAAAAAACACACATGCCTCTTTTTATATACAGTTGCATATTTAACTTGGTCATTAATTCATAAACACGTGAGTATTTTGTACATAGCTTTTCTTGTATTGTTTGGTATTTCCCACAAACTCTTCAAAGGTGGGGACTTCCAATGGAGAGACGCACGAAAAGATACCCAACCACTAATGAAACACTAAGTGCCTATCGTGGGCCAGGTGCTATTTGGACTGGATATAAAACAAAAAAGACAACGTCATGCTTTCATTAAGCTTACCTTAAATAAATGAACATGATAAACACTGACAAGGCTAATACTTTAGATGGGCACTCAAGGAAGTCCTCTGAGAAAAAGACAAGTGAGCTGAAATGTGTCTGGCAAAAATTCATCTATATCTCCCTCTGAAGATGGAGGCAGAGACTCCTGCACAGAAGGAGCAGCAAAGGTAGGAAGCACCTGACTTCCAGGAAGGGGAGGAGCAGCAGGGCAGGATGTCTGGAAGGAAGGGAGGAAAGGGATGTAGCACTAAGGCAACCAAGGTAGGACCTGACCGAACTCCACTAGAACATCATGCCCCGAACGTGCCTAAATGCTCAGCCAATTCTAGTTTGGGCCCAGCCACGCCACTCTTAGGCAAAGTTTTGAGATGGAAGAAACCAAAAATCTGAGAATTACTACTTTCATAACATCCTCTTGCCATGACTGGAGTACTACAAAGATAGGTATGGTGGAAGGGGGGCTGATATGATTACGAAGTATTTTTAAAGGTAAGGGAAAGTGGTCTGCCATCCCTCCACTGAGGGTCCGGCAGTGCGTCTTCCACACGTGCGCCTAGCAGTCACGCAAGGAAACCTGCCAAGCTCTGGGCGGGGGCAAATACAGGAGGAGGAGGGGCTGGTGGAGGGAAGGAGTCACAAAGAGAAGGCAGCTTGCCTACTTTTATTCTCAAAGCAAGGTCACAATACAGATATTGGCCAAGATGGCAGAGACGAAAGATCCTGAACTCATGTCCTCTCATGGGCGGGCCAAAATCACAACTCTTTCCAGAAAAACCATTGATGAAAAAGACTAGAATCTACCAGAATAAATGTACAACTAAAGACAAGAAACCACAATGAGATGGGTCGGAGGGGGCAGACCCATGGGGCGGGTGACCTGCAAACTGGAGACTAATTATATTGCAAGGGTTCCCACAGAAGTGAGCGTTCTGAGCCCCATGTCAGGCTCCCCAGCCTCGGGGTCCTTTACCAGCAAGATGACCTCCAGAGCATCTGGCTTTGAAGGCAAGCAGGGCTTAATTTGGGGTGTCCCAAGGGACTGGGTGAAATAAGGATTTCACTCTTAAAGGGTGCACACAAAATCTCATATGCACTGGGACCCAGGGCAAAAGAAGTAATTTGATAGGAACCTGGGCCAGACCTACCTGCTGGTCTTAGACTGTGTTCTAGAGAGTCAGGGCATGGGTGTGGCTCACCCTGAGGACACAGACACTGGCAGCAGCCATACTTGGGAGCTCCTTCTACCTTGGGGACATTGGTGCTGGCAGGGCCATTGTGGGACTCCTCCCATTAGCCCGAAGACCTGGCCTCGCCCAACAGCCAGTGCTGGATGCCTCAGGCCAAACAACTCACTGGGCTGGAACACAGCCCCATCCATCTGCAGACAGGCTGCCTAAAGACTTCCTAAGCCCACAGCCACCTCTATGCATGCCTCTAGACACAGGACTACCCACCAGAGGTCCAGGACCCAGCTCCACCCACCAGTACACAGGCGCAGGCCCTGCCCTCCAGGAAGTCTGCACTAACCTCTGGACATCCTTACCCACCAGGGGGCAGACACCAAATGCAAGAAAACCACAATCCCACAGCCTGTGGAACCAGCCTGTACACAACAGGTTAGACGCTGTCCTGGGACCAGCTGGGCCCACGCCCTGCCCACTAGCAGGCCGACACAAGCTTCAGGACACCTGGGACCCTGTACCCAACTGTGTCAGGAATCAACCCCCTGCACCAGCAATCTCACACCAGCTCTGGGATCCCTGGGCTCTGCAGCCAGGCTCCAGGACACAGCTCTCCCTGCCAGTAGCTCAGCACTAATCCCAGGACCTGGCTTCACCCACCAGTGGGTAGGCAACAGCTCTGGAGTCTTCTGGACCCTGCCCCCACCCAGTAGTGACCCAGCACTAGCCCAGGGGACCCGTGGGGTTCTACAACCAGACACTTCAGGACCAAGCCCCACTAACAAGCAGCCAACAGCCTCCACACAAGGCAGGGCCTGACAAACAACTGGGCGAGGGCCCAACCAAGCCTACCACACTGCCTGCACAGTCAGCCTGCCATAACAGAAGCCATCCCTCATGCAGCCCTCATGGGGGAACCCCTAGCACACATACCTTGGGTGACAAGAGGGGAGTGCACTGCTGGGACAGAGGACGTCTCCTCTAAAAGGCCATTTTGCCAAGGTTGGAAACATAACTAACCCACCAGATACATAAAAATACAAATATCAACTTAAACAAAATGAGGTGGCAGAGGAACATGTTCCAGATAAAGGAACAAGATAAAACCCCAAAAGAAGTGAGGTGGAGATAGGCCATCTACCCAAACGAGAATTCAAGGTAAAGATGATGAAAGAACTTGGAAGAAGCAGTTCCGGTCAAGATGGCAGAGTGGTAGGACCACAAGCTTGCCTCTCCTCATGACTACAACAAAACCACAACTGAATGCTAAACAACCATCGAAAAAAGACAAGAATGTAGCAAAAAAGATCTTCTGCAACTGGGAACATAAAGAGGGAACCACAGCAAGACAGTAGAAGGGGCGTGCTCACGATATAACTGGGCCCCATACCCCTGAGGTGAGCGACCCACAAGCTGAAGATTTGTTAAGTCGCAGAGGCCCTCCCACAGGAGTAAGAGCTCTAAGCCCCACGTCAGGCTCCCCAGCTCTGGTCCTAGCATTGGGAAGAGAAGGAGACCCCAGGACATCTGGTTTTGAAGGCCAGGGGGGTTGGCTCTGGGACTGGGGAAATGGAGACTCCATTCGCTTGAGAAGCATACATGGAAACTCACATGCACCAGGTCCAAGGACAGAGGCAGTGATTTCATAGGAACCTGGGCCAGACCTGCCTGCTGGATTTGGAGGGTCTCCTGGGGATGTGGGGGACAGCTGTGGCTCACTGAGGGGACATAAAATCTGGTGGCAGGACATTCCAGGAAA